GTTATATCGTTATCGCAAATTTTCAAATATATATCGTGATAAATATTTTTGGCCATATCGCCCTGCTCTACACCAAAGGTAATATTTGTGAATTTGGCTGCTGTCTCTCGTCTGTATTATACGTATTTTTTCTTTCTTTCTGTTTATTTCTAACCAGGTATGGCATAAGCCCGGAGAACATCATCCTGTACGGGCAGAGCATCGGTACAGTTCCCACTGTAGACCTGGCGTCACGGTACGAGTGTGCCGCCGTGGTTCTTCACTCGCCTCTAACATCTGGTATGAGAGTGGCGTTTCCTGACACAAAGAAAACCTACTGCTTTGACGCTTTCCCCAAGTAAGAGAGAGTCTTCTTACTGTTCACACGTTTTGTATGTATGAAGCTCTTGATTTCTTTCCCACATAACATTTTGTTCGTAAACACAAAATGTTAATTTGATATGAACTGGTTTTGTGTTTCCCTGCGTTGTCCAATTAAAATGATGTTTGATAAACTGCGGCATATCAAACACATCATAGCAATTGGCTGTGAAAGCCGTATATGTGATGCATGCTCAGTCATCCTGGTAAGGAAATCCCAGACAGTTGAGCCATTATGCAGCTGTGAGTCAGCTGAGACTGTACAAGTCATGTGGATGAGTTGGAAACGGGATCGGCTTTCTATACTGCCCTCTATCTGTTCGTGCTTCATCTTCTTTCTTTCTGTCACTGAGTAGGGTGTTTAAACGTCATGCACAAAAACAAAATGCACAATCTGTGTGCTCTGACTCTTTGACTGTCTGTTGATATTTTCACATTATTATTAATCTGTCAGCAGAAGAGCCTGATTCCCACTTAGACTTGTGAAAGTGTGTTTGTCCAGGGAAAACAGACGTGCTGAAAGGAAAGCCTTTCTTCTTCTGAAGTGCTGTTTAAATTATTTGTTTTTAGTTTTTTCAGTGTAGTGAGTCTCATTTGTTGGAAAATCCTGTTGACACATAGTTTTTTGTTTGTTTGTTTTTTGGACTGGAAAATCACAAAGACAAGGTTGAGTGCATTTACAAACCACTCACACTTATACTGGGTGTACTGGTATCGACTGGATGATTGATAATATCTGCTGATTTGTAGGTTATGATTCATGGTTGCTCTTTCTCACTATGGAAATGCATTGCTATTGTGACCACTCAAAGCACTTTGCAAGACACATCTAACCGTGCATGCTGGCAGTGCTGCGGAGCTCACACTCACACAGGTGACTACGTTGGGATCCCCAACGTGTTCATTCTGTGGGACGACATGTGAACTCTACACGGTAAGGCCACCACTGGGGTTTGGACTACAAACCGTCTTTGACTGAGGTGTCTGTACTAACTGTTGTTCCACCATTCCACTGTTTATTTTCAGACTTTACATAATTACGTCTGGAGGACTCGTCACACACACTGCCCTGTGTGTGTGTGTGTGTGTGCTCGTTTTGTTAGTCCAGTTGGACTAACTGTGGTTGTTCAAGTCTCTCTGTAAACAGTTTTAATCCCAGTACGTGCCAGTAGGATTGTTGAAGCCTTTTGTTCAGTTTAACCCCACGTGCTGCCACACATGGGTGTGCAGTTGTAGTGTGGGTGTTCACTCGAATGTGTTGTTACAGTTCTTTTATTTTTGATCCTCGGCCCCAGAACGAGTCTCTTGGCCACACAATAAGGACTCGGAGTCAGTAGCAGCCCATGCCAGCTTTAGCGCAGGGTCAGACTCGATAACCTGATCTCTGGTCAGAACGGTCCACACTGTTTCAGCGGGTTCTCTGTTTCTAATTCCTGTTTTCCTCTCTTTCCATTTCAGCATTGAGAAAGTATCCAAAATCACTTCCCCAGTGCTCATCATCCACGGCACGGAGGACGAGGTGATCGACTTTTCCCACGGCCTGGCCTTGTTCGAGCGCTGCCCGAAGGCTGTGGAGCCTCTCTGGGTTGAGGGAGCGGGACACAACGACATTGAACTCTACAGCCAGTATCTGGAGCGCCTGCGCCGCTTCATAGGACAGGAGCTGGCGGTACAGCACGGCTGACCATCAACACTACGCTCGTCATAATGACCATATTTCCCGGTCCGTTCAAAGCACCTCACCTGTTTTTGTCTGAGATGGAAACCATCTGACCCGTCTTAACCGTCCTGTGTGACGTGTGCACATACTTCAGGACGCAGTTCACCTTTAATGGACCGTGGATCATTTAGACGCAGGGGAAAAGAGGCGTCCCTTCATAATCACAGTGGAGACTGTTGGGGTTTGTGTTTGTTTGTGTGTCTTTTAGCAGAAACTTTAATAGTGCAGATGCCTGTACTGTGCAATAACATGAAAAAGAGGGAAAGGTTTTCACTGATAGATGTAAAAGTAGAACAACAAAGTGATCACATGACCTGGAAAGCTCCTGTCACCACCTCAGCGTACACTTCGAGTGGAACTTCATTTTTGCTAGCAGCTTTTTATTAGAGGACTTTTGTTGAAGCAGGTATTATGTTACATTGAATTATTGCACCTGTACAGTTAAATGGAAGCCAATTTAAACACAATATATCATGTTTTAAAGGTATTCGTTTACCTGCATTTTGTTGGCACAGACTGCATCATCTTTAAAATCGTTTCTAACTTTCATCACGAAGGTTTGAAACCGCTCACAGCTTTTAATCTTGGGAAAAATTATGCTGACATAAACATGAGTTTATATTTTGCGTCTTGTTTTTACGTATTGAACATTTCGCTCAGGTAACTTTTTCGAGTGTTCGCGATTGTTTAGCGCGCGGACAGCTGAAGCGCCTCAGAAGATTTCATCCAGCCTAAAATATTTCCTTCCAACGAAGCGTTCAGCCGAACTTCGATCCTACATCTGAGCTGCAGTCCACACCTCCAGTTTGCTGAGCCGTCGATGCCCCCTCGCGCTTCTCTCTAACACATCTGTGTCCCACTGCTGCTGTGGGATTGGCTGTATGAAAGAAAGACGTTGAAGAGGCTCAGATGGAAAATTCCGCCAGTTCTTTCATTTAATGGAATGCGTTCGAGTCCATTAGCCCCGTCCGTTTCTTTTAGCCTTGTTTATGTCTCGCACTGCTGGGTCACAGCTGTCGGCCTGTTCTTGCTCCTCACGGTGCGCAGAGACAAGGAGAGCAACACTAAAGTTCAACACATTACTCACCTGCACCCCGTCATCAGGGATTTGTTTTTGTTGTTTTTTTTCAGTGAAGGCAGGGAGAGTAACCACATTCAGGTCCATATTCTGATAGTTCCCCAGTTTCGCAGGAACATCTGTGTGATCAGAGCACATGTTCTTCTTAGAACATATCAGCAGATTTGTCAGAGTTAAGCAGGAACGCTAACACCAGGCACTAAACAGATTAGTGTTTCATCTAAATAATTTAGACTTTATAACAGCTGCTTGTATTATTATCCTGTCTATGTGCACAAACCTGCAGAATGATTAAAGGGGACCTGTTATGCTTATATCCATTATTAAACAGCACCAAGTTTCAGACGATCTGGCGAGTCGAGGTCAGACTGTCTCTGGTTCTGTGTGATCGCACTGAGAGCCATTGTTTATTATGCTTTTCTCAGAAAACAGATCAGGTCTTGAGCTCCTGCTGTTCACGAGACCCATTGTAGGACAAATAAGGATTATTTTAGGCTGGGAATCATGCAAAGCTACTCTAGTAGAGCCCAAGTATAGAAATATGGAGCTGGAAAGGAGCATAATAGGTCCTCTTTAAGTATAATTTTTGTTTTGTGAGGTGCGTTTTCTGTCTTCTAAGAATATTTTTAGGAAACATTGGCACATTATTTGATTGATCTCAATTCTTCAGCTTGTTATTGGAGAAATCTGACTAACCCGTAACAGGAGACGGACCTGCCTCGTACCTGAACTGGTACAAATAGATGTTGGAGCCTGTTGGAATTGCTGTAGGTGGCTCTGAGGGTAAATGCATATCTGTTGTGGGGGTTTTCCATGTGTTTTTTTTTTGTTTTTTTTGTTTTTTTCCTTTTTCTTTGTGGTGATCCAGCAATCCACCAAAGTTTTAAAACTGTAACCAAAATTGTAATATTTATAACAAATTGTAAAGGAATCGGGTGTTTTTGCTTACGTGCGTTGTTGTATTTGAAGCTTAGGCACGATTGGATTAGACGAACACTCAGATTCTCAACATTTTTGAGGAGAATTTTTAGGCTCGGTGGACAAACCAAAGCTTTTGTTGTTAGTGCTTTACCCAGTTTACCTGCTGCTTATGTTTTATATCTTATGTAAAGAACGTCAAACTGAGCGTATCTTCTTATTCTCTTCACATTTGGATACAGATTCATTGTAAAATTCTCTGTTTGCTAAATAATCGTGTTTTATCAAATCACGTTTGCTTTGAAATATGCAAGAACCGAATATGAACTTGATAAATTAACCAAGTTGGGATTTTTTGTTTTTCTCTAAGCTGTTTATGATTTCTCGTTTGTGCAGGGAGGACACCACGTGTATTTGAATATGTTTGTGTGATGAAAGAAGATGAAAGGCCGGCTTCATGCCGACACATGAAAAGCTTTTTTCAGACGTGTGGGTTTCTGCTGAGGATTGTTTCATTTCTGGGTTTTATTTTCATCATCAAACATTCTTATCAATTGTTTATTATACTGACAGTTTTTTAGTTTTTAAAGATTTTCTTTCTTTCTTTTTCATGAATTAAAGAGAATAAGTTAATAAATCATAACCAGAAGTTGATATTAAATGTGACTCTTTTTTTATTATTTCATTTGGTGTCCTTGCTTAAATCTGCCAGAGATGAGTGTTTTCAACAGTCCCTGATTTTGCACTCATGGCAGACCTGGCACTGGCTGAATAAAGACCTGTCTGCTGTGAAAGGCCTCATGGGGCTGAGCATCGAGGCTCCAGGACTGGCTCGGACGAAGGCACAATGAGTGTTTAATTGCCTGGTGTTGTCTTCTTTGGCTGATGTGTTGGACGCTTGTTAGCATCTGAGCCAACAGAGGCTCAAATCGTGTTTTAATTAAAGCAGTACAAGGACTCGGGTCTGTCCCAGCCTCCCCTCGCTGCCTGCTACTGTGTTGAGCTGTGGGGAAACGGAGACAGATGGATCATAAGCTCCTCCCCCTGAACACACACACACTTGCCAGCTGTTTTCAGTGGACCACATAAACTACAGCGTGTCACTCAGAGGCTCGTACGGATTAACAACAGCTGCAGTAATGCGTCCCTCTGTGTACGGCAATGTTAGTGCATCCTGCAAGAGCAGAGGAAGATCTCTAACACTGAAACGCACAAAGCTGAAGCTTAACAGCACTTATTAATCTGCCTTTAAGTGTTCCTAACCTGAGGATTGTTGTCAAGATTTAGACTGAAAAAGGAGAGCGAGCATGAGTCGAAGTACAGAATAACTCCTCCATGTGAATACTTTATCAGCTTCAGGAGAATAAATAACATTCACTCACATGACATTTAAAATAGCACAAAAGTTCAAACACATATGTGAACATTAACGATGGTGCACTGATGCTGCACCTGTTAGCTGAGCCCGCCGAGACTTACAGTAGGCGGAGAATGTTGAGGTAAATTCGCAGACTCGTGTCTTTTGAGTGCAAATAACACTATTCATGACAACACAAAGCCAGTTAAAGTTCAGGTTCCCAGTCTGTCCGGTTAGAAAGCACAAACCACTGCGAGTTCTGTTCAGCTGCTTTGGTGCAAATGAAACAGACGACAGGGTCTCTAGATGATTCTTCTTCCTCCCTACTCGTTTTTCCTCAGGTTTTGCTTTTTGTTGGTGTCCTTTTCGATACTGGCAGGAAGAGATGGTCTCAGAAAGGTACATCCATGCGTGTCTTCACACCAAGGTTTGCTGTGAGCGTCTGTCACAGAAGGACCGGTATCTGCTCCTCTGTGTGAGAGGAACTGGAGGAGCGCCGACATGTTTCTGACTAATCTGTCAAAAGGAGACTCCATGAGGGTAGCATAAAATCCCAGCAACACTTCTCACAAACACGTCTTCCCGGTTTATTCCGTAGCTGTCGACCTCAAACTAATCGAGCACAAATTCCCGCTCTAACCTGAATCCTAAACTCTATCCTTAACCCCGAAACAGGCCTTTGAAGGTGAAGTGATGACCCTCAATCACAGGGTCTAACACTACATTGGTCCTCATAAGCACACCCACCCACCCACACATACTTTTAACTGTTTGTTTCATTTTGTATTGCCTCTTACATGGTGACTGCTTTGAAAAAGTAGACTAGTCTCTGCTTTTTAGTTCTTTTCATCATTTCATGTTTGAATTAAAATGAAATTATTTTATTGGCAGTTGTTAGGCTGTCAGCTGAACGAGTCCTTGAAACAACCAAGCACACCCACCAGCAACTTAACCAGCACATCACACAGGGACAACCTATTAATGTCTGTGATAATGTTTAGAATGTAAAATCTAGTGTTTTTAAAGAAGGGGAATCTCATTTGCTTCTGCCGTGTCCTGTTTTACAGTAAAACCTGTGGATGTCACACGTTCGTGTTTGAATTCCTAAAAAACAAATTGTATAACCAAGGAAGGAAGGTCATGACTGCTGCATTCAAGTCAGCACAAACGTTTCCCACTCAGCAGAATGAGTTGGGTTCAGTCCAGAGCAGCAATGTCAGTCCTAACAGTGCGAAGCACGTGATCTGCCACTGCACAAGGGTAAAAATACAGACGCGAAGCTTCCTTAGGCCTTACGGATAATAAAGTCATTAAACACGACAGGCAATGAGTCAGAATAGTGATAATAATTTATTTATTCAGAGTCTTTGGCAGTGGAGAACAAACACCGAGGCTGAATTAATGGGAACATTTTCACGTGACGTTCAGTTTTTATCTGCGGTGGAGTGAAAGTGTGAAGGCTTCTGACATGTGTTGAAACAGACGAACAGATGGGCGTTTACGGCGTTAAATGAAATGAAGTATCCCGCCAGAATTATGACACTCTGACACAATTAGCATGTATGTTAGCAATGCTCCAGTCTGGTATACATGTGTGGCCTGAACTGAGTTACAAAAAGCATAGAAAAAGCAACAAAATTACAAAAAAGAAACTCATTTAGTGAAGAGGGAGCAAACTACTTCACGCGGCAGTTTGCACGCTCTCCCATATTCACATCCCATTGGCATCTGCTACCAACTGTCAAGTGCAACTCTGTAGTTCATATAATGAAGGGCAAAGAGGTACAAATACTTTCCATTTCAGTACGATACTCCGCTTTATCCTTTTTGTTCTTGTACAACTCGGGTTTTTTGTAGATCTGAGAGTCTCTCTAGATTAGAAAGAAGCTCAAACACTCTTTACACCCAAAACATTGGGCAGGTAAGGCAATTCAGCATTTGCAGAGGACTTGATAAAACCAAGTACTGGAACCAATCAGAATGCACAAAATGATGCATTCGTCACACAGCTCACAATATGGGGAAGAACACACACACACACACACACACACACACACACACACACACACACACACACACACACACACACACACACAC